TCTAAAAATGAAAATCCATAGAAATCTGGTTCTATTTTTATGAAAATTTTATCGTTATGATAGATGATATAACTTTTTCTTTTATTGATCAGAAAAGCTTGTTTTTCGATATGATCTTCTTTCGTAAAGAAAATTTTGATTTGATCTGTAACAATTTTATTTTCTTCTTTATATTTAAAATTATCGAGATTTAATAATTCACTATTCATTTCGAATGAAAGGTATTTATGATTATAATCATAATCTTTTAATTTTGGAATGATTTTAGACATTTTTTTTTTAATTTATGATAATCATTTTTTTTTGTTTTATTTATAGTTTGAAAAATTAATAATATGAATTTAAAATTTAAAGAGATTTTATTTGAAAAATAATATATAATGAATATGATTTTAATATTGTTCCAACATTCCAAAAATAATGAATATTAATTATTTACAATATAATTTCCCAAATGAAATTCTTATAGAGATTTTTAAATATGTTAAATATTTAAAATCTTTAAAGATTACATGTAAACGTTTTAATGATATTATCATTGATTCTTTCTTTAAATTTCAATGGTTTTTATCATATCATGAGACTATTCTTAAAGATGAGATAATTACATTAGGATTTATCTCTTTGATGAAAGAAATCAACAAAGAGAAAAAAATCTTTGATGATAATGATGTATTTTTAACAAGAATTGCGATAAATTTACATAAATCTGGATTACAAGAAAATCGTAAAAAAGCATTTAAAATTTTTAAAATTATCAAGTATTATCGTTGGATAGGAGAATATTACGAGAATGGATTCGGAGTTGTCAAAATTAATAAAAAGAAAGCTTCAGAATATTATGTAAAGGATTACGAATTATATATCAAATAATGAGATTTTTTATGATAAAAAATTATGATAAGATATTTTTATTAATTAAATAAATATATAAGGAGTTATATTTGATTATGATTAGTTATTACAAAATGTTTATTAAATTACCAAATGAAATTCTCATCGATATTTTTAAACGTATCAAGATTTTGATTAACGTGATTTGTGTATGCAGACAATATCGTGATACAATTATCGATCCTTCCTTCAAAGTTCAATGGTTATCATTTCATTATGAGATATTTCTATCTCAATATATTATCAATTTAGGATTTACTTTCTTTGACATAGAAACCGTAAAAACTATTTTTAACAGTATGCTTTTAATTTTTGTAGTAGATTATGATGGAAAACTTAAAAGTTATAGATATGAAGAGATTAGTGAATTATTTAGAAAATCTGCACAACTCGGAAATATATATGCATCTTTTTATTATGGTGATATTTTATTTTATGGATATTTAGGTAATGAGATTGATAAGGAAAAAGGATTGGAATATATAAAATATGCAAGTGATAATGATTATGAGGATGCAAAGAAATTTTTAAAAGAAATATCTTAATATGTATACAATTAAAAAAAATAATAAATAAAATAAATAAATTTATTATAAGAGTTTTAAAAAATATTTAATAATTTTATTTTAATAAATTTCACAATTTAAAATATATAACTTAATTATTGATAGGATAAATTACATGAGTATGATTATTAAAAAGATCCAAGATATCATCATATATTTTATTTAGAAATGTTTTAGCATCTCTATGACCACTTGATGCTGCGTAAAATATATAGTTAGATCCTTTTAAAAGATCTATTTCATTATCTAATTTTCCACTGATTAAAATAGTACCATAGATAAAAGAGGCTTCGACATTTCCAAATTCAGCAATTTCTTTAAAAGTATTTGTTATCTGAATTTTATCATCTTTATCGATATCTACTATTTTATCATCGATTACCTTTTTTTCATTTCTCATCATAAGAATAGTTTTTCTAAGAAGAGCTTCTTGAAGAATATCTTTTTCAGATTGATCTTCATTCGAAGCCATGTGATAATATTTCAAAGCTTTATCTTCATCGATTTCAACAAAATGATATCCATGTTGATAATAATATCCTAACCAAAGATTACAATTAATCTTGTTAAAAATTTCAAATGCTTTTTTACGATTTTCAAGAGAATTTGTAATATGTAAATTCATCGCAAGTCTTGTTACAAATTCTTTTGTGAATTTTATTTTGATAGTTTCTATAGTTTCTCTATCAAAGAAAGTATGATTTCGAGACGTTAAATTATGATAGGATAACCATTCAATTTTAAAAAAAGGATTAACGATGATAATTTTAAAGCGTTTACAGACAAAGATTACATTGATCAAGATTCTAACATGTATGAAAATATTGACGAGAATTTCATTGGGGAGGGAATACATTTTATTTTAATAATAGATAAATGATATTTTATTTATATAAATAATTATTATTAATTTGATGATAATTATTAATTGATAAAATATAAATATTTTCAATTCGTATTTTTTTAAAAAAAAAAAAATATTATAAAATGACTAATATTAAAGAATTACCCAATGAAATTCTCATTACTATCTTTAAAGAATTACGAGATTTAAAGAATTTAATTATCACATGCAGACAATTTTATGAAATCATCATTGATCCTTATTTCAAGGTTGAATGGTATCATCATAATTCATTCAATATATCTGAAATAACCCAATTAGGATTTGTATTTTTCGATGAAAAAGTCATAGAAATTCTCAAGAATAATGATAAATACATCAGTGAATATTGAGATTATGTTGTGACATATAGGTTTTTCCGCACAAGAGAAATAAGTCATGTGATTTATTCTGAAAATTTTGACGTGTTTCAATTTGAGATTTATAAAATTTTCTTTGCTTTTGTTTTAACTTTATTTATTTTTATCTTTGAAAAAGATTTTTCGATATGGTATTTTTTGTTATTATGGTTTATTTCGTATTTATTTTGGTCATTATGGTATTATATGGATTTTTTATTCGTGAATGAATTTAATTATAGTTTTATGTTAAACAA